AAAAGTAGAGACAGGAAACATGAGTTGTGTTTGGTCTGCAAGCTCTGCCTCATCTGAGGTACAGAGCGTTGCAATGGCCTATTGCAGTCACAGCTACTTCCTCCTTGTGGCGATGCCGTCCAATTGCATCCTTATAACTTTAACTGAAAAGTGCAATACCACAACGCCTTTTACATCACTAAATATTTAAAACCAATTACAACTGTGACCATAAACTTGTAGGTGTCACACTTGCACATGCTTAGTGTGGCCAAGTGAGTGTTTTCTACACACAATGCTATACCATCTTCTGTCACCAGAGACCAATATTGAGTTAACACCCCTTAGCACGCCTAATCATAAACTGTTGGTTTTGGTGTATTGTAAGCACATGTTTATGTTTATAGGTTAGCAGGACTGTTTCGGGATAAACGGAATGTCACACTGTCATCTTATTTTTTGTTTGGGTTTTCTTTTATTATGAAACGCTGTAGCTGCCTGAAAGTGGCTATAAATGTATTTGTGAATTATTGTAGAAATACAGCTGGAAATAAAATATTGTTTTGTGAAAGAAATGATGAGCAATGGGATATAAAAGGAGGCCACTGGGGCCTACCGAGGCAGTCTGTGAGATGTTACAGTGAGGGTAACATGTAAGCTGGCTCAGCCTCTTGCGTTCTGTACATAGATTTTTGTTTAGTGATGAATAAGTTCATTTATTTTCTTTGTAAATAATGCATCTGGGAGGCCAGCAGAATAAAGTATACACACTGAACGTTTCCTGACGATGCCTGCATTTTTTCGGGAGAAGTTTAGGAGAGGACCCCACAAAACAAATAATTACAACTTTTAATTTTAATAATAGGGTACGGTCACTTATTTAGAGTCCTCTTTATATTTATGAGACTTGTATTTCTGGAGTCACTGTTGACTGTCTACTAAACCGCTGAATCACTCACACACTGAAATATGCATATTGTATGCTTTAGTCAGTAGTTAACAGCTATTATTATGCAAGAAAAATTGTCTTAAACTGAAAAACCTTGTAACTAGCTGTTGGGTCTGCACCTCAGCAGGCCCTCTAGTTCTTTATTCCCGTGAAGAAAGCAAGTGTTACGAAATCAGTTTCACCCCAGTTCTTTTTATTCCTCGGGCATCCAGGAACGGCACCAGACTCAGTAGTCATTTTCACAAAACCTTTATTCATCTTTATTCATCTTCATTTAAGCATGCATCTTCTAGAAGGGGAGACAAGCAAGGCCGGTGTCCCTCTGCAAATCTTCCACTCCTTTGTTTGTTACAGTCAGCTTTATAGAAGCGACCCCATCATAAAACCCCCATGGTGTGCTGCAAACTCTGTGTTTGTGTGTGTATGCGCGAGAACATGAGTGCCTGTAAGTGCGCGTACCCGTATGTCTATGTGAGTGCACGTGAGTGACTGTATGCGCGTACCTGTGTGTATGTGTGAGTGCACGTGAGTGAGTGTGCATGTGGGTGTGGGTGCGTCGTAACAGTCAAAGCACTGTGTATGTGTCTCTGTGTATGTGACTTCCTGCCGGTCATAAAAGTAATCTCCTCACTCAATCTACACCAAATTCTATTAGACAACATACAAAACACAGTTAACATATTACAGACACTGAGACCCCCACTCTGCATCCACTGGGCCACTGGCCTCTTGTTGTCTTACATTTACAGATAGGGTGGAGAGTCTCCTGCAAACGTACTTCTAAGTTTATAACAATTATGACCATTTATTAGATTCAGGTTAAAGCATCAGCATCCGCACCCCCCACTGTAGCTTCCTGACTCCTTTTATGACAGGCAAACCCCCAGTGTCAATAAATTTCTTTCTCTCTACACAATTACACACACTCTCAAGCCTACAGCTAAGCCAAACTAAAACACACAGACAAATCCTTCCCTATTCCTCTGATATAATGCTGGACCCTCTCATCTAAGCAAGTTTAACACATTGTATTCTAATAATTGTTTTCTTGTACTCACACAAGACAGAACAGCGATCAGTTTTCACATGCTAGCATGGACCGCTCGACAGCATTTCTGCCCTCCATGTCAAACAAGTCCAAAGAACCAGCACCCCCTGCAGCCTTTTATTGTGTGACACACAGTTTACACAAACACCCATTGTAAAACCCCCTGTGGTGTGTCAGGCACTGTATGTGTGTATATGTATGCATGTGTGTGAGTGTGTGTGTGTGTGTGTGAGTGAGTGAGTGAGTGTGTGTCGATGGGGGTGCATTTGTGTGACTTCCTGCTGATCACAAAGAGTCATTTCCCCTCATCCCTGCCTTTTTAATCGTCTCACCATACACATAAAGGCCAGGAAGTCTCACTTCTTACATAGAATGTACCTGCAGTTACACTATAGCCCCCCTCACCATTCAACAAGCTGGGGAGGACAATAGAAACAAAAGAGTGTCTCTGAGCATACAGTTTAAGGCAAGGCTTACAAATTTAAGTACAATAATGGCAACATTTAATAATTTCAACCTAACACTAGCCATGAGTCATACTGGTCACAAAAGAAAGTACAAATCTAGAACTAATTTAACACATTATTACGAGTCCTTTCCTCTGTAGCTTTGACAGTTAATGCGTTGGCAACTTTAAAATGCCACCACACCTTCTCTGTCAATATTCCTTTCAACTAAGCTGATGCCTCAGCAGCTGGTGATTTGAAAAACATTGACTTATCTAAGCGATTTATATCTAATGGCTTAACAAGTAACATAGTGAAAATAGCACAAATAATACCCTAAAATTCCTTGAAACGTAAAAATATGAATTTTAAAACAGAGAACTAACATGCCAATTAGGCCTATTCAAGAATCAACTTTCATTGCCATCATGGAAAGAGAACAGGCATCAGCTAACATATTATCAGCAAAGATCATAATGTGTGTTTTAATGTTTTACATAACACTTCTGTTTTGCAAATATTAAATAACTACTTCCCAATGTTTCATTCTCCATCCATCCGTCCATTTTCTTCCGCTTATACGGAGCCGGGTCACGGGGGCAGCAGCCCAAGCAGAGAAGCCCAGACCTCCCTCGCCCCAGACACCTCCTCCAGCTTATCCGGGGGAATACCAAGGCATTCCCAGGGCAGCCAAGCGATATAATCCCTCCACTATGTCCTGCCCCGGGGCCTCCTCCCGGTGGGACATGCCCGGAAAAACTTGCCTAGGAGGCATCCTTGTCAGATGCCCGAACCCCTCTTAACTGGCTCATTTCGATGTGGAGGAGCAGCGGCTCTACTCTGAGCCCCCCCCGAATGGCCGAACTTCTCACCCTATCTCTAAGGGTGAGAAGACCCCTATGAAGAGACCATCGAGAGAACAGTTCACCCTGCCCGGGATAGGGTGCCCGAGGGCAAACGTCTGGTGGCTGGGCCTTAGTCCATGGGGCCTGGCCAGGCACAGCCCGAAAAAGGGACATAGGCCCACCACCCATAGGAGGCACCGTAGGGGTCAGGTGCAATGTGAGTCGGGCGGCGGACAGGAGCAGAGGTCCTGGCGGACCGATTCCCAGCTATCAAGAATGTTTCATTCTATTTAGTAATTATAACATTGGTTCTTTCACTTGCAAAAAAGAAAAATATAAAAAATTTAATACAATTTTATTTTTGGGTCTTGTTCTCAAGTGAAGGTAGATCAACCGACAAATTGGTGCTGCGGCTGCAGTGATGCAGACGCTCTACTGGTCCGTCATGGTAAAGAGAGAACTGAGTGTAAAAGCAAAGCTTTGAATTTACCAGTTACCCTACTCTCAAGCTAGAGGAGGTGGCCCAAATGTTGTAAACAGTTTTAATTCTATAACTGTTTACAACTTGAATAGTTCCCATTTCTGTATAGCTGTATATCTCATATATGAATTTCCTTCATATTCTGTATAGTTTTTTTTCATATTTATATCCTGTTCATAGCCTGTACATAGCTTGTACTCACTACAGCCTGTACATACTTTTAGTTATAGCATATTCATAACATACTTCATACCGTGTGCATATTACATACCGTAATAGACCCATTTCTGTAATATACTTACATATCTATATTATTGCTAATATATATTGTAATATATCTATATCATGGCTAAAGCACTTCTGGATGGATGCAAACTGCATTCCGTTGCCCTGTACCTGTGACATGAGCAATGGCAATGAAGTTGAATTCTATTCTATTTTATTCTATACCACACCTTTTATCTGTAGCACTGACAGTTCATGTGCTGACAACCTTATGTTGCGTCCACACCTTCTTTGTCAACATTCTTTTCCTCAAAGCACAGCTGCTGCCATTAGATTGATGGTGATTGTAAAAATAAAGACCTCACCTAAGCAGCTTATATCCAGTGACTCAACAAGTAAACAAAGTAGAATTGACAAAAATAATACCCTATTGCAAAATGTATAAACTCTTTCACCTAAGTTTTAAATTAAAAATCTGAAATTTCTTTAGAGGGAATTAATGTACACATCCAAGGCCAATTCAATGGCACTTTAAATGATTTACTCTAACTGCTATAATGGAAGGAGTACCAAAGGGCTGAAATGGTCAAATATATATACAAATATCAATAAAATGCTCCTCTGATATCTATAAAATTAACATTAAATGTCATGTGTATTCTGCAAGCCTGAGATAACTCACACAGTTATCACACTAGTGATCAGCATCAGCCAACAGCAAATATCATAATGTGTACTTTATGCAAATATTTTCATCTCGAAAGCTTCAACTTAAGACAGCGGATGAGGTGCGACAAAGGATCACTATTTTTGTATTAACTTTGTCTTTCTTTTCTTTTTTACGAGTGGTGTAATTGAATATTTATCTGTTATGCTATAGATTAAAAACTATGGTTTATTTATAACATTCTCTACTTACTTTTAGCTGTTTTGGCAGAAAGTGGTAGCTTTATTTATACAGCTTCTCTTACTTTTTGACTTGGTCACATGCATTCTTTTAGCCTCATTGAATTTTCAGTGTTTTTAGCAAAATTCTAAACCAAAAAGGTGAAAAAGGGTTTTTTCAGTTAGAGTTTTTTAGAGATATGACCATATATGAGGGTGGAATTATTTTCAGCTAATGAGAAAGATCCTCTAGTAAGAAGTATTCATAAAATGTTATGGTGCAAATCGTGGACACAAATTTCAGCTAATTACTGCTGAGTAACAGGCTAATAGATTATATATTTATACGTATGTATATTTGTGTGTGTATGTTTTGTGGGTTTACATAAAACATTTAAATTCTGTGCAACAGTTGTGTGGCAATTCACAAGTCAGACACAACCCCAATAACTGTTTGCACATAGTCCATAACCCCTCCCTC